GGGGATTTTTAATTGTTGATGGGATTTCTGATTTTAATTGTGAGCCGCCCAGAGTCACCCGTTGGGGGGAGATGGGCAGCATACAAATTTAATAAATAAAATAAATATGCCTGGGAGATATTGGTTGCCACAAGGTATTGAACTGGTTCCAGACTTCCAGTGTTTTCCTACAGCAATTTAACCCACTCAAATTAAAGACCTTGGGGGCTGTATAGTCATTGGGCAGCATTAACCATGGCTAGCCTTTTTGTGACTTAGTATGTTGTATAGATAGGCCCTGTCTGCTCAGCGAGTTTTTGATGCCAGTTATTGTCTGAGTCCAGAAAATAGATTAACGTGTAGCCATGTTAAATGTCTATAACAGTCATAGTGCCTGAACAGAATAGGGATATAAATTATTTTATTTTTATTGAGAAGCACAGCTTCTTGGGCTAACTTTCAGGATAATACAATGGCTGGCTTTTTCACAAGAACCACTATGTTTCTCTTTCCTATATACTGACTGTTTCTTTTTCCTTTCCATTTTTTTTACTCCCTCAGTCTTAGACTTCAGTCTCCAAGATTTATATCTTCCAGTCCTCCCTTTCCTTATTCCAAAGTGCCTAGTTAACTCTTGGCGGCATTGGTAGAAGAATGCAATTAGTCCAGGAAAATGTAGAAAGGGCTTCCATTACTGTAATGTGCCATCTGGCACCTCCTTTTACATTTCTTCAGCCGCTAACTAACTTGGACATCAAAAGTCAAGCATTAAATAGCTGTGAACAGACTTGGCATGAGGTTTTCTGCTGTTCCTTTCTGTAGATTTTGAAAAACCCATATTGTTCCCATACCAAGAAACTCCCCTTGCACTGCAAGTACTAAATGCCCTTCTGGTTTATTGCTGAATCTTGTACCTCTGTCTTTCCTTCCTTTCTCTAGATGACTCCAGAGTCTCTAATCTACAGGATCAGCCTTCATTACAAGCCAACCCCTTCCTCCAATGCAGTAATTGTAAGAACCAGTCCAGTTGAAGTCCCCATTGAGTGTCACTATCCAAGGTGAGTTCAGAGGATGAATCTAATGAAATGCAGGGCTGGCTTGACCAGTGTTCCTCAAGCTTGGCAATTTTCAGATGAGTGGACTTCAACTTCCAGAATTCCCCAGTGAGCCATGCTGGCTGGGGAACCATAGGAGTTGAAGTCCACTCATCTGAAAGTTGCCAAGGTTGAGAAACACTAGGCTTGACTGTTAGCGAGAGACAGCCACCTTGGGTGGGAGATGATAAGATGATAAGAGAACTGTGCCATCCCCTCTCTAGCCAGTGGTCCCAGCTAGTGTACCATAACTGGTAGAGGATGCTGACACATGGTTCATGGACTAAATCACAGTGGACAGAGTTGAGACATTAAAGCAAAAACCAACGAGCTTACAGAATGGCCTAGAATGGATTCAGCAGTTGGCAAGGTTGAAGGAAGAGACTCAACTGCTACTCAGTCAGGTTCTTGAGTGTGGAATAGTGCATCAGCTTCTTCACCCAAGGCCACAGAATATCTTGGACTAGCCTTGCTGGGTAAAACAAAACAGGAGTCCTTTGCTCTCTGTGGGGAACCTTACCTGTCTCTATCTTTATTTCCAGGAGAAACAATGTAAGTAGCGATCCAATTAAGCCAACATGGATTCCCTTCACGTCAACGATTTCTGCAGAAGAAAAGCTACGGTTCTCTTTGCGTTTGATGAATGGTACTTCGATCTATGTGGTCACTAGGAGTCAAAAACGATTTGATGGCACATAACTTCTAGAAGCACCCTATTTCTGCAAGAGTTTCATGACCATGAGGGTCAAATGAGATTAAACCCTAATTGTGCACAAATAAGGTCTTCTTAACATTGGCATTAGTGAAGCTGGATTTTCATTTTTCTAAGTGCTGGGTCTCCTTGATTCCACTCTTGCATTGGTTTGTGCATAAGGCCAGATAATTTTTGCCCAAATGTTCATGGATTTGTATACATGCCTCGCAAGTAATGTTTCAATCTTGTGTGCGTGTATTTTCTTAATATACAATTTTGCAGAGGTTCTTCCTTTGAGTATGACTTTTTGTAGGTGTGTCCAGAGTTCCTAAGAGTGCTGCAAAATTCTGAAAACTGCGGATACCAGTGGGTGTTCTGAATTCTGCATATTTCAGAGAAGTGCAGCTGATTCAGGTGGCATACCAAATTAAAAAATAAAATGAATTGGCATGCTTATATAATTTGGATAGGATGCACTTCTCTATGCATATTAGATTGCAGACATGATACATGTAGGCAGAAGGACCATTTGCCCAGGTTGCATTCCTGATCTGAATTGGGCTAAAGTTTGCATTCAAGAAGTTCTTCCATGTTGGGTTTTGTAATTACTTTGGTTTCCAGATGACTGGAGTGCAGAGAGAGCTTCCAGTGGTTATCAACTGGGGGAAGTGATGTACATTCAGGCTGAAGTAAACACAGAAAACCACATGCCTCTCCGACTCTTTGTTGATAGCTGTGTGGCCACGCTGAGCTCAGGGCCAGATTCCACTCCCCGCTATCCCATCATTTCTTACAAGGGGTAAGAGTTCTGACTATATCTTTCCACTCATACTGAACATTTTTATGTAAGCTACCTTATAACTCACAGAAATCCTAAAGTCACCTGTTCTGTAGCAAAATCATGCTACTTACACCATAAGAAGGTCACCATCATGAGGCAGAATGACCATCTGTAGCAACCTTGCTTACATATGAACGTCGCTGAATTTGTATGATGAATCCGGCTTTCTGTGTTATCTTGGACCTCTGGTCATTGCCTGAAATAAAGTCTTGTTCTATGCTTATATCCACAAGCCATCAACTCATCACCATGAGCAGGGTTGGGGTGTTAATCTCCTTCAGGCCTGTTTTCTCCCTGTATTATATAAAAATTATATTTTAATTTTTAGAATGGGTGATGGTGCTGCTTGCTTCTATCTCTGTCCTTGTGTGTCAGTTGTATTTGATTGTAGACCTGCAGGTAGTGTGTTTTTTACTTATCATTTCTGAGCCAATCTGGGAGCTTTGGGGCTGAAGAACAGACTCAAAATTACACTAAAGATAACAGTGTTCAGATAGCAGAACTTACAGACCTATTGTCTGGAGATTATGGGAGGACATTAAAATGAAGTCTGCATTAATGTAACTAAGTGTGTCAAAAGGAGGAATCATTATTGACAGATCTCATGTCTTCTAGCTGCCTGGTTGATGGGAGATTGGATTCCAACTCAGCCTTCTTATCACCAAGGCTCAGGGATGATTTACTCCAATTCACAGTAGATGTCTTCCGTTTTATTGAAGATCCACGAGATCTGGTAAGAGGGTTTCCTCTGCAGCCCAGCTCCTAACAGCAATATTTTTGAACTTTCCCTCTTCTTCAGACTGCAGCCTAGCTGAACCACCTTTTATTTTGTTCCTAGATCTACATCACTTGCCATTTGAAAGTAGCTGCAGCTACCCAAGCCCCTGATCCAGAGAACAAAGCTTGCTCCTTCCATCAGGCTAGTAATGGGTAAGCAACCTGATGTTCCTACTGGGTCAAGCCATGATGCTAAGCCATGTGTCATTGTAGGAGGAAATTAGTAGGCTTCGTCAACCGAAATGTGAACATGCAACTAGTTCCTTTGAGGTGGTTATGTGTTTCTTTGGACAAAAAATGTTTTAGATCCATTTTATTCTGGAAGACTTAGTGACTTTTGTAGTTGATTGTTTTGAGCTACATACCAATAGTTTGAAAATCAGTACCCAACTGGCTATTGCATATTTCTCTGATTACAAAACAGACTGATACTATAAGCAGTAAGCACCTTCTCAGCCCCATACAGTGGTTTGAAGAACGCTCTTCTCTATATGTGAACAAGTATTCCATGATCGGGTGACCTGATAGAGGAACTTGTTAGAAATCTAGACTTCATATACTAGTTCACATGCTTAATTTTCCTCTTAACCCTTACCCTATTAAATAAAATGACTTATTCAGAATATAAACTTAAAATTTGTTATATGAAATCAGTGGTGCTTAGTACAAATAGTGTGGGGGTATTTTGCATATGGTAAACTTAAAAGAAATTTGAATAAACCACAATTGGCTGAGTACACTCAGTACCTTAAGCAGAAACCAACCTGCGTTACAACTTAAGAAACCCATAAGCCCAAGTAGATCAATAGCTGAACCTAAGAAGTCAAATGTCAGTAATTTAGGATATAGCCAGTTTTTCTATTAAGAGGAAAAACTATTTGATGAAATCTCATTACATAGGTAAAACCTTACAGGAAATGTTTCCCTCTGGCTTTCCTTACCACAGCTGGATTCCAGTTGAAGGTACCACAGACATCTGCTCCTGCTGTGAAACTCAAAATTGTGTTCAAAGTACAGGCCAAACAGGTGGCCTGTGGGACAGATGGGGAAGGAGATTGGGCAGAGATGTGGCTGCTAAATCCGGTATGTGGTCACAAGGTTTGGGAGAGGAAGGGAGCTATTCTCTTAAAAGATATCCAGAAGTAGCTGTTCTGCTTCTGGAAATATTAGATGAGGGTCACATTAACATTAATGTCTGGTTAATCTTGTTTTTGAGCAGATAAATCAAAGGAGGCTGATGTGATACTTGGTCCCATCCTCATTCTTGACTCATACATGACCTCCAGGAGTCTTCCTGACCATCAGAATAAGAAGGTGGACTCATCACCAGAATATGGTACTGTAGCATGTTCATTATGGTGTTCAAACATTGTGCTGATCCATGGTTTGTTGACTAACCATAACTGGATATATTCACACCATTTGCTAAATCAGAGGTGCACAATTTTTGTAATCTCAGGGCCACAACAGCCCTCAGACCTTTTCCATGTAATTACAATTCTTTGATCTGACAACCATTACTCCCACTAGATTTAGTATTAACTGTGTGAAATTCAATTAAATTCAGTATAATTTTTTACTTAGAGCCAGAAGCACAGAATCAGTTGAAATTACCCTTATCCTTTCAACAGACTGTGCAGTGATCTCACCCAGTTGCAAATTCACAGGCAACGTGTTAAGACCCTTGACAGTGGCAGGAGATTCTCAGAGCAAAAGTTTGAGATAAGAGTAACCTTAATTGCACTTGTTTGTCATGAAGCTCCACTCTTCACACAAGTCTGAAGGGAAGGGAAGCAAGAATGTTTAGCTTTTTCTGTTCTGCTGTGGTATAATACTTACTTTTAATTTTCACTGCAAAAATAGGCCATTTAAGATACTCCAGTACTGCAGTTTTCTGGTAGCTCCAACATAGTAGGATGATGTTAAAGTTCTACTTTTCTTCTTTACAGGCTTCTTCCAAACTCCTTGGATGCTGGTGGCAATCATCCTGATAGCCCTTTCTACAAGCTTGGCATTGACCACTCTAGGAATCCTTTGTACTAAGAAAAGACGTTCTAATTCTCCTTAAGGTGTTGTGTAATGTGGAAGGATGTTAAAATAAACAAATCAAAGAGTTAAAATGACTAGTTAATTGAACAAGGTGGAGGGAAGAAAACAAATATAATGGTGCCTGCACAGAAAACAGAAGCATCAAAGGTGATTTTCAGGCTAGGTGATTTGTGTCCTGCTAGGACTGTGCTCATTTCACAAATGATTCAGAAGTCCTTTGGACCTCACACAACCACCACATCTCCCCGCTGTTAATTAAAGCAGTGCCTTTTTTTTCCAAGGCTTCAACTGAGCCTGAAGGCCAAGGAATGACTGCTTTAAGAGTTGCATTCACATCTCAAAGATAACTTTCTTATAACTCCCATTCAATCCCATATCTAACCCTGTGCTCTTAAAGGTTGTGGTCAAATGTCATGTTAAGACATGGTTTGCATCAACATCGTTTGATAAATAAGGCCTTGTGTGAACTCAGTTGATTGTGGCTTAAGTTGAAATCAAACCTCATTAGGGTTTCACATGCTAGGTGTATCCAGCTTAAATCTGTCATATCAGTTTGTAGACTTGCCTGTAAATAAAACACTAACAAAGTAGCTGAAGGGCGGCACAAGTTTTCTTGATAATAAACTAATTCCTTGCCATTGGCTCTGGAACTCCTATTTTAAAGTTGATCCCTCGGAATATCAATTCCTTTTATCATTCCTCAATTTTATTAAAATTTATTGGCCACCCAACTCCAGTGGACTCTGGGCAGCATACAAAACTTAAAAAAAAAAAAATACAAAAACAGCTAACATTAAATCAGATGTTTTGCAGATTGGGGGGAGGGGAGTAGGGTGAATAGCAGAATAGGACTGAGTTGAATTTCCATAACATTTCAGAAATGAGGCAGGACTGTGGCATTATAAAAAGGCTGCAGGGAAACCCCTTATTTCAGATAAAAATCCAATGTAAAAAGGACAAATAACTCTGTTTTGCATTTTATGTGTGTATTTGGTTTTATTGTATTTTTATACTATTTTTATTCTATTTTAACTAATATTTCTTGTTTTTATTGTAAACCGCCCAGAGTCACTTCCTCGAGAGATGGGCGGTGTCTAAATTTTGAAACATAAATAAAAAATTCTCATCGGCTGCCAGGAAAGCCTTCCCAAAGTTCCTTTCGTATATTGAATTAGTAACAGATGTGGAAAGGCGAGATCTGGAAGTGAGCTGGACTGCCAAAGGGCGAAGACACGCGTCAGCTCTTAACGGTCCGCACGACCGACAGGAGAACCCGTGTGGCGAGAGCAAGAAGCAAGAACCACTACCAGTCAGCTGACTTGTTCTTCCGAGTCAGCTGATATAGGGCAGCTCTTCAGGGATTGGATAGAATGGATAAGTCAGCTGACGAGAACGCTCCTCAAGGATTGGATAGAACAAAGTCAGCTGATACAAGGAGGCTCTTCGGGGATTGGGTAGAAAGGAGAAGTCAGGTGACTTCCTTTGCATAGGGAGGAGCGCCTCGCTCAGATCAGGGGAAGATGGTGAGTGCGAGGGAGGTATCGCGAGCGGTGGAAGGCGTGGGGTCGGTGGCTGTACTGCTAGCAGGGAAAAGGGGCTTTTTCTAAAGGATCCGAGGTGAAAGCCAAGAACTTGAAAAGAAAAATTGGTGCAGTGCAGAAGTGTCAGAGGAGTACATCTGTCAGTGTTTCTCAATCTCAGCGATTTTAAGATGGGTGGACTTCAACTTCCAGAATTCTCCCAGCCAGCTTGCTGGCTGGGGGAATTCTGGGAGTTGAAGTCCATCCATCTTAAAGTCGCTGAGATTGAGAAACTGACATATAGGGACTGTTGCCTTCAGCTGTATTGGGAAACATACGGATTTATAGCCAGAGGAAGACTACTTCAGCAAACGTACAGAAGGCTTTCATGCTTTCAGTTGCTTTGGGTTGTGGAAATCCCAGGGACCCTTCAAAATTCAGAAAAACCTCTCCACTCTTTCCCTTTTTGCAGTCCAAATTTGATATCCCTATTTTCACTCATTTTAAGATGAGTTTGCATTAAAGAGTTTGCAGTGAACGTGAGCTTTGCTGAGGACTAGAATGTTGATAATATGCATCCCCCCTGCTTTTTTTTTTCCATTTTGAAATCAGCTTCATACAGATGTCAGTAGAGCATAGCAAGTGGTGGTGTTGTAACGTGCCCAAAATTTTTACGAAATTGTTGAATTCATCCATTTTCTGGATTCGCATAAAACACTGAACCATAAACTAACCAACTCGGTTAGATTCATATAACACACTAAACCACATAAAAAAACCCCAAAGTTAAAAGGAAGCAGTCTTATTTATTTTTCACATTTATATAGCCACCCATTTCACATACATGACTCAGGGTGGTGCAAACAATTAAGATAACAAAAATCAAACAATCGAAACAGTTAAAAAAAACAGAACTCTTAAAATATGATTAAAACAGTTAAAAACAATAAATTTAAAAAGTATGGGAGAGTGCATTCCAAACCTTATAAACATTATAACAATTTTGTGGGCTCCATATTTGGATAATTAATAAATAATAATTCGGCTCCATAGGATCAGTCTTAGCTGGTTAGGTGTGTAGTGTGAATACAGCATGAAATTGCTAATTTTGAACCACTTCCTCTGAAGGCTGCACACTTCAAAAAGTCAATTATCAACACCTTCCAAAAGTTTATATATAGGTCTCAAGTTTGAACTTGACTCCTGAGATGTTTGCCTTACTTTCTGAGTTTCTCCAAACCAAGTAGAGGGGATATTGAACTAATTTATCCCAAGATTTACACATTTGCTTCCCAAATTCTTCAGAGAGGGGGAAATTTGGATTATATTGTTCAAAATCACACACTAGCAAAATAATCTGGAGTTTGGGTTGCTAAAGCCATTTCCTCACCAATAATCCTTTTGTTTCTTCCTACCAGAGGTTTCGATTCTGTGGGGATTTGGACTGTCCTGACTGGGTCTTGGCAGAAATAAGCACTTTGGCTAAAATAGTAAGTGATTTTGTTTCTTGAGTTCCGTGAAAATTTTAATTATTTTAAGGTATAGTGGTGCTAGCATTTTACTATCTACTTGTAGCCAGATTTGTCTCAATTGTTATAAGATTTTGCCTGGCCAGCTACCATGTCATGCAGGCCGTGGGTGTCTGCAAGGGAGGGTCAAAAAACTCAAGTTGATGTTATGACCATGTGACTGAAGCCCTTCCCCTTAACCTGTATATAAACTATTTCTGGAACATTTTTCTGCAGCGCTTCTCTGTTCTCCTCCAAGTGTAAAGAGGTGTAATGCTTTTGGGGAAATATTCTGTTCTTTTCAGCAGGATCAATTGTAGACAGTATGCTTGTCCAAGGCAATATGATTTTAAGCTTTAATTAATCAATTTAATGTAGCGGTCCTATAGCATACAACTTAAGGTGGCATATATCATCCATAAACAGTCATAAGTCAATCAAAGCCACATCATAAAACAAAACACAAAAAATTAATCCAAAACAGCAACATAGAAATGTGTAAGTGCTAGGGAAAAAAATCTTTTATAACAGTCAGGTTGGCTCAGCAGTGACAACTTCTCAAGGATACTTCTGTGAAGTTCCTGGAAAAATAGTGTTAATTGGGTGCATTTTCTTATTTTGTCATTTTTCTAGTCTTCGGTGAAACTTAAGCTGATCTGTGTCCAGGTTCTGAAGGACGTGCTTGGAGATGGCATTGATGTGAGTTTATTCTCAATCTCTTTTGTGGGTACCTTTCAAACTCGGTTTGCATAAGTCCAGGTTCAGTAAGAGAGAAACACTTTCGCATAAAACATGTGAGATGTTATTTTCTAAATAATAGATTCCTAAATCAGCTACTCCATTCGTATTTGTGTTTCTATGGCAATTGAGTAGTGTTTAAATTGGAGGCTCTGGAAAGGTTCTGTAAATTGAAAATTCTGTGATGGATAAAAAGTCTTAGAGTTGTTGGGGCTTCCTGATGTTAAGTTTAAGCTGAGCTAAACTAGAGCTTGTTTTCTTTTCTCTTGCAGTACGACAGAATTCTAAAGTTAACATCAGATGCCAAGTTTGGTGAGTATCCTTCCCTTCTGTGTTCAAGGGCTGGGCCAGGATACAACTAAGCCTTTGCCTTCCACACCAACTTTTCTCATCTGAAAATTACCCAATTGGAATCAGGGGTGCATTTATTTCTTGAGTTTAATGCTGGTGTTGAAAGCAAATTTGTGCATTGGGCACACAGTGGGGCATTCTGGATCCTTACTTGAACTGGTATCTTTTTGCAAGAGACTTGCGAAATCTGATGTCTCCAAACATCCAGCAAATATGGCAGATCCTATAAAGCTGCCCCTGTCTTAGACCTTCACCTTGGAATTTCAAATTACATAGACAGTGGTTAAGTTCTTTTCCAAAACGTTGACCTTAAATAGGTAAATGTTGAGCAAAAGGAGGGCTGTTTCAGGAGACCTACAGAGTTCTGGAGCAATTAATGGCCCTGGGGATCCAGAATGGCTGGAACGCATAAGCCAGTGTTTCTCAACCTCAGCCGCTTTAAGCTGTGTGGACTTCACCTCCCAGAATTCCCCAGCCAGCATGGCTGGC